TTTACAAAAAACAATATCATTGACCAAGTCTCTATATTGTGTGTTCATGCATTCAACATAAGAAACACAAAATAATTGCAGCAGTCCACTGATTGGAGCTGTTCACATAATAGATAAAGCCAGTCACCTCTAATTGGTGAACTTTTTGTGACGACACAGCATGCGAACCTCGACCCCTCTTTTTTTCCTCCTCAACATGAGGCAAGGTATACACATTCTTGCTCTCATATATTTGTTCTTACGTCAAACAATAAAACTTTTTACCATTCACATGTTGTGTGAATTCCTCGAATGACATTGTTAGCGGTGTCAGATACATGCACAGATACATAATTTAGAACATTTTTAACTTTAAAAATTTCCTTTGTTTTGAACTATAAATCTAGTATTTGTAAATTTCCAGAAAAATGAANTTTGTAATAATATTTTATCTAAAAAATTTAGAAATAAACAGAATTATAGTGTTCTTTCTGAATATAAATTTGACATGTCTTATTTGATACAATGCAGTGTATTATTATTTGCATTTTAAAATTGCATTATTTCAAAATTGTGTATAATATGGCTGTCATTAAATTTAATTGATAAAGTTTCATTTTCATATTTCATGTTTACAAAAAACAATATCATTGACCAAGTCTCTATATTGTTTGTTCATGCATTCAACATAAAAAACACAAAACAATTGCAGCAGTCCACTGGTTGGAGCTGTTCACATAATAGATAAAGCCAGTCACCTCTAATTGGTGAACTTTTTGTGACGACACAGCATGCGAACCTCGACCCCTCTCTTTTTCTTCCTCAACAAGAGGAAAGGTATACATATTCTTGCTCCCATGTATTTGTTCTTACGTCGAACAATAAAACTTTTTACCATTCACGTCTTGTGTGAATTCCTCAAATGAAATTGTTAGCGGTGTCAGATACATGCATAGATACATAATTTAAAACATTTTTAACTTTAAAAATTTCCTTTGTTTTGAACTATAAATCTAGTATTTGTAAATTTCCAGAAAAATGAATAAATTCCCTGACTTGACAATAAATATGAGTTTCTCTGACTATTATATAAAACTCCTTGACATTTCTTTTCAGATTTTTCCAGCAAGGGAGAACACTTAATATATTTCTGCTACTTTTATACCACATTTCAAACATCACTCTTAATAACTGTCATATTTTCCTACCAGAGTTTGACTGTATTCATTTAAAAAAAATGTTAGTTTTTTAGATTTTAATATGAAATTAATCATCATTTAAAAAATTATATCAATACACAAGAGCTTTAAGCACAGTAGAGTTTTAACCAAATAAATCAGATTTTATTGGATTTTTTTAAGGTTTACAAGAATAAATAAATTCATTATTAAAAACAATCCAGCAGAGTTGCTTAACTTTCCTGGCAACAAAATTTAAAATTGTGGTGGCACCACCAGTTATGATATTCTATTAAAAAATTTCTTATATTATTAATTAAGTACTATAAAATGGCAAAAAGCTTAATTTTGAGAGTAGGGACAAGTTTTATAATAAAATTGTAAATGCTAATAACAAATAAACTCTTCATTAATTAACTAATTAAGTCTAACCCAACTTGTAATATGATGCATGAACCCCTCAACATTTAACCACCAAAATTTAATAGCATCACTCCAACCAATACACAAACATCCTTGAAAAATTTCAAAATTTTTGACATAAGAGACAAGGATTATTAAGTTTCAAAGTGGGTGAACAAACTGGTGTACCCAACACACTAACATCCATACATACAAAAAACAGTCTCTAAATTTTTTTGCATTTCTTAAAGTCCTGAGTCCAAGAAATATAAAATTTTGGGGAGGTCATTTTTTCACCAATTGCCATTCTTTCCCTCTGTTATATATAACATCCAGGAAAATAACAGCTTTTTAAAAACTTTAAATTCAGCCTAGTAAAATCTGATATTCTGATCATCTATTTACAAAATTAACAAAGTATCAATTATTTTCTGTATTCAAACTTTAAACTTTCTTAATCTATTTAAGAAAGCTTTAATTATAAGAAGATATTTTAGAATACAAATTACCTCATGAATAATTTCCCACATTTTTGTAGAATTTGTAAAAACACCAGTAGCTCCAGATCCAAGGGCAACATCCATAGCTCCTAATTTAATAAGCAAGAAAGCTTCAGTTGTAATTTATACAATTAAGGATAATATACATAATTAAAACTACACAGAAAACAAATAAAAATTTAACTATTAAAGTTTTATTCTTACATAAAACTCATTAATATATGTAAAGTGATTAAAAAAGCTAGTTAATGTAATTATTAAAATGTGTGAAATTACCTGTTAATGTTGCAAGATCTATTATCATTTGTGGATTAAACGTGTGAGCATAACATAGAGCATCTGCCAATATTAGACGTCCTTCTGCATCAGTATTATCCACCTACAAGAATGTTTTTAATGAGATATGACAAAATTAATAAACTTATTTTTACTTTTGCATGGTGTTTTTAGGCTCAGCATTATTGTTCACTTAATATAACTGCTTTTTTTGGTTTTAACATGCACTGACAAGAGGAAAAAAAAAATTGGTGCATTCTGCTGTAAGGTAGGTCTGAAATCTAACCTGTCATATTAGCATGATATGTATATAGTAATTAACTGAAAAGTTATTTTAAAATCTCTATGTATTTATAATAACAATGCTACTCTAATATCACTATGATTATTTACTGAGAATTATCAATGAAAGATAACATGCCATAAAAGGCAATAATTCATTTAATAATTAATTTAATATAATAAAATTAATTAACCATTAATAAATATGCAATTTAATAAGGTGTTAGTAATAAAAAGAAACAAATATTTAAAATATGTAATCATATTATATTATTTTAAAATTCCTTTTAAAAGTTTTACCATCTTTTATTAAATTATGTAAAAATTAAAAATTTAAATGAATTTCTTTTGTCAATGTTTTTAAAGCAAACAGAAATTAAGTTAAAAAATATAAAACATTTTACAAATCATAAAAATTTATTTACTTGAATTGTTTTCCCATTCATTGCTGTCACTACATCTCCAGGTTTATTAGCGTGACCACTCGGCAAATTTTCACAAAGTGGCATTAATCCTATTTTCAGGATATTTTTATTAGTACTTACTAATTTAATAAGTTTAATATATACAGTACTAGTTTTAAAGTACATACCAACTATATTTATAGGAATCTTAAGACTAGCAACGGCATAAACTGCTCCAATTATACAAGCTGCACCACCCATGTCGGCACGCATTAAGTCCATATGTAAAGAGGGCTTAATGGAAATTCCACCACTAGAATAAACAAAATATCATTTTTAGAAATTAAACACTAAAGGCCAGTTGCACAAGTTACCATTTAAACTACAGATCTGTGGAATAAATTTAATCTAATCTAATAAATAAGTATGCTTGTTGCATGAGTTACACGAGTTTCTTTTATGAAGTGGATAGTAGGGTTTAAAAATCAGTATCAATTTTATAAGTTTTTCTGTGTTACTCTGAAAGATTCATTTTCTTTTTGTTGTTATTTATTATTGTTATGGTGTTCATAGTGTTTCCTACACCAGTTCCTCAGGCTGCTATGCCAGGCTGAAGTCAAGACATAACTACAGAAAATGCTTTTCTTCCCCTTTTTTTATGTGTTAGTCATGTATGTATGTATGTATGTATGTATGTATGTATGTATGTATGTATGTATGTGTGTTTAAGAATTTCTTGACTATGTGATATGTATTTAATATGGCAGCTTTCTGAAATGTGATGTATGTACTGTTAAGAACCTCTAATGCTTCAAGAGCTTTGTGTAATGGATGTGGTATGATGTCTGTACAACAAAGGACTACCAGCAAAATAAATACCTTATCCATTCTCCACAGACAATTTATTTCATGGGTGAGCTCAGAGTATTTACTAATTTTTTCAGTGTATGTATTTTGTATGTTGTAAGTGTTTGGAATAGTGATATCCATGATATATATATATATAATTTTGTGATATCTGATCTATTGTGATGCATTGCTTTTTTTCTATGATTATGGCTTGATCACAGTATATTTTGTGTTGTTTTCTATGGATGTGTTTACTTTTAGCTCTGTTCTCGCCCCTAGTGTGCTCAGTCTGTATACTTTTTGTTAGCTACCAATGAGTATGGCATTTACTTTTCGCACCGGTGACATCATTGTTAGTATTCCTAAACCACTTGGCATGCTTGGAGAAATTACAATGAGCTTGGAGTTTGCTCAAAGATGGCGGCGTCTATTACTGTGTATACTTTTACAAGCGTGCTAGTATGACGTCAGGCTGCACTAGGTGTCAGCTGGGCGAGCTTGGAAGCTAGCAAAAAGTAAATGCACCCTATGATCATCCAAGATGTGTATTTGTAGTATGGGTCTTGGATATGTAGTAATTTGTGTTTTTGTGTGCAATCTTTTTTGATATATTATATTTGCTATTTAGTTAAGTCAATGTAAATACTGTAGTCATTATTATTATCATATTAATCTATTAATTATTGTATGGGTAAAAATTTGAGTATCTTTAACAGAAATTGGTATCCATAAAGATCTCCTCAGTACCCTCTACTAAAGAAAAAAATTGGTAATTTGAGAATTTCCATCAGTAATTTAACTTTCCATATCCTAGTGGATAGTTATCAACCAGTTAGTTGAGAAATCCTTACTGTGCAGTTATTATATATCAAGAGCAATGGCAAAGAAGATGGAAAAGAAAAACTATGCAAGCAAACAGATTGGACAGTAGACAAAAATGTATATTACTGGTAAATCTGAATATTCACAACATAAAAAGTGGTTGTGAATGACAGAAAATGAAGACATTTTGTAACGTCAACATATTTATATATTTTATTTTTTAATGTAAATGCCAATGGCCAAATTTTTCTCAGTTTTCTCATGACTAAAATGGATAACTGACAGGAAGATAGAGCAATATTATAATCAACAGAAATGAACCAAAATTTGTAAAAAAGCAAGTTACAGTCTGTTTAAAAAACATCTTTAACAGATTGTAAAAATTATTTACAATAATTTATTTTTTTAAATTTGCAGTCAGCAAATGATTAACAAAAAATTTAAAATAAACATTTTTCAACTAAATTTATATGTTTCTTTCATCTCAAATATTACATAGTGTATTAAGAGCAAAATAATTCATCTGTGTAAAAGATCTGAAGAAGTTATTTACAGTCCATTTCAACATAAATTGAGAGGTATTTGAGTATTACAGTTATTAAAATTTATAAAATTTAAGATATTTTCAATGTATTAAAAATTTAAAATATCTTCATTTATATTTTAATATATTTTAAAATATGAATGATGAATAGATATATTATCAGTTCATAATATAGGAAAAAATAAATAATCAAGTACTGTATTTCCTGTAATAATCACACCACTTGGCAATTTTTTCATTTTTGATGGGCAATTATTAAAGTAAAAACTATTGACATTGTAAAATAAAAGCATGATTCCAAAAGAGAGGTGAGACTAGTTAAATTGGAAAACTGTGACAAATATATAGAAAATAATATGAATGAAGTACTTCAAGTTGCCTTAATTAACTTCATAGATTTTGATAATTCTTGATAGCAGTAATAGTGAGTGCTGATAAAGATATTAGACAGTATTTATTTATTTGACTTCCGTATTGAAAAATATTGTAACAGTAGTCGATTATTTGATAATATCAAACACATTAACATACCTGCATTTAGGTTAATCAGTGCAATTGACCTCACAACAACATTACATTATTACAAGAATATTTACATGGGCGATTATTATAGGAGATACTGTATTAATAAAATTTACTGAATTTTTTCACAGCAATATATATGCAAAATTTGTGGAAATTGTGTAGAATGCAATTTAAGTTTTTAANTGCACAGGGCGACAGCTGCTCGGTTTTTCTATCTAGAAATCAAGTACACAAACAAGTACCTGACATTCAGCAGTAATAGCACTACAATTATAAAATAATGTATTTGAGGTAAGTTAACAGTATCAGGTAAAAGTAGAAAGCATCAAATATAATCTGATGAATAATTCTGCTGGGGTTTTATTAGACAACGAATCCTGGCGCTATATCTACTTCTAACAGTTTACAATACTCTACCAGGATTCATTGAATTTGAACTTAGAAGAACCAAGGCATCTGCAACTACATTAAAAACTTGCCTTAAGTCACAGTTTTTGACATGGTTGACAATATCTCAGATCAATATACAGAGGATGTTTTTAGATACAACAGAAATTTGTTTATCCAGACTACATAAAACCGGATCAATTCAGTGAATGAAAATTTAGAACTACTGAAGTAAAATAAATATATACTTTCAGTACTAAATAAATCTAAAACTTAAAATTTGTTGTCAAAATGTGTGTGATATAAAAAAAATCTGAGTAAAATACAATTTCATAACACATAACACAGAGAAATGATTAATAAATGCCAGTATTGCTACTGAATATAGTTTTGTAGAATGGCAAACATTTTTCATTGTAAAATTATTATTAAATTCTATTCATTTAAAAACTCTACTTCTTTTTGAATCTAGATAAACAGGAATTTCAGGTGAACAATTTATTTATTCAAATTGTTCTTATATACTAACTATAATTAAATATACTGATGTATGTTTGCTTATTTATACATATACCTTTTCATGGATAAAAATTTAATTAACAACACACAGTCCCCGGCACTCTAACACTCATTACAAATTAGTTTCATCACTTCATGGAGCTTCCAAAGTATGCTCAAATATTAAAATTCTCTAATAAGATTCAAAGATATAAAAACTTAATGATTTTTAAGCTTCTTAATTATTTTTTAAGAAGTTCAAGGAATTTTTATTCAAGCATGTATGATCCTTACAGGTGTGAAAATGGCAAATCATATCATTTATTATTATTTATAAATCATATTTAAATAAATATATACAGTGCAATCGTAAACTCCCTATGCAATCCAAAATATACAGGGTGTTTCAAAAAAGACGGGCAAAACTTTAAGGGGTGGCAGAATACACCAAAACAAACATTTCTTGTCACTGAATATGCAGTCAAATCAGAACAGTGAAGCCAGTTGAAAACACTTTCCAGCAAGTGTATAAAAGCATGTTTTTAAGACGTGGCCATTTGTGACCTCAATGTCTGAGGAGATGGATCATTATTCCAATGCCAAGAAGGCTAATATACATTTCATGAAAGGATCTGACAGATAAAATTGCCCTTACACTGCCATGAAACCACAACAAATGTACTGGAAGTATTTTCCCAATTTGCCAGTTCCCAATCTGAAAACATTTGAGTATTTGCATCAGTAACTGTGCAAGATGGGATTTTTCCTCAGCAACAGGCACAATGCAGGTTCTTGAAGGATAGTGAGAATACAAAATACAATAGAGATTAAAGATTCTGTGTCATGTCATTATTGTGTTTGTGCCTCAACACTTCACATTCAACCATGCATTCTATGACAAGAAATGTCTGTTTTTCTAACCCTTAAAATTTTGTGCATCTTTTTTTAAACACCCCATATAAATGAAAAGCATANCTTGAACAGATTGTAAAAATTATTTACAATAATTTATTTTTTTAAATTTGCAGTCAGCAAATGATTAACAAAAAATTTAAAATAAACATTTTTCAACTAAATTTATATGTTTCTTTCATCTCAAATATTACATAGTGTATTAAGAGCAAAATAATTCATCTGTGTAAAAGATCTGAAGAAGTTATTTACAGTCCATTTCAACATAAATTGAGAGGTATTTGAGTATTACAGTTATTAAAATTTATAAAATTTAAGATATTTTCAATGTATTAAAAATTTAAAATATCTTCATTTATATTTTAATATATTTTAAAATATGAATGATGAATAGATATATTATCAGTTCATAATATAGGAAAAAATAAATAATCAAGTACTGTATTTCCTATGATAATCACACCACTTTGCAATTTTTTCATTTTTGATGGGCAATTATTAAAGTAAAAACTATTGACATTGTAAAATAAAAGAATGATTCCAAAAGAGAGGTGAGACTAGTTAAATTGGAATACTGTAACAAATATATAGAAAATAATATGAAAGAAGTACTTCAAGTTGCCTTAATTAACTTCATAGATTTTGATAATTCTTGATAGCAGTAATAGTCAATGCTGATAAAGATATTAGACAGTATTTATTTATTTGACTTCCGTATTGAAAAATATTGTAACAGTAGTCGATTATTTGATAATATCAAACACATTAACATACCTGCATTTAGGTTAATCAGTGC